GGATGCTGACCAGATTAGTTTTAGTGGACTCAACTAGCTGAAGGCACTTGGTCATGCATCCGCACCAGATCATGTGTGGGAACACCGTGCTCAAAATCTACTGAAATCGCTAGCCAGACTAGATCAGACAATTCCGATATATTGGCAATCGTCAAGTACAACTTCTGATCTCCTCGATTCTGTCTTTTGATTTCTCTTGGTGGGTACGAGTTATATTAGGAGGTGTTACTGGTAAAAGCGTTGTCAAACACTGAATACCTGTGCCATCTTCAATATTAAAATGTTTCGAAATAAATAGCCAACTATCTAAGGGAATAAAGTTTCCTGAAACTTTGCAAATCAGATGTCATCCAACCAGAGATAGATTCCTTTAATTGGATCGAACGGAATTATTCGAAAAATGGTCATCCGACATGACGGCTACCTGAAATTCAGGTTTTCAATTAAACATGGACGCAAAAGTAATAAGACATTCATTTACCTGGTTCACTATCTTGCAACCCTTTTTAGAAGAATGTCAATAGCACAAAGTGTTCCTTGTCATTTGTTGTAAGAATCCTCCGATTGCTGAGTTGAATACGTCTACGTTGATACCAGTAGGTGCTTAATTATGGTGTGCAAATATAGATGACTTGGCCATGCCAAACTTTTGTTGCTGTGAATAATTTCTTTTAAATTACAGTACTTTGGTGGCTGAATATTACATCTATCCTGTCAAAATAAGTCATACAGATAGAGGTTTGTCAATATTGCCATCCTTCCCAGGGGGAAACATGCACTGAGGAAGCCCATGACCTATCAAATGGCTAAACTATTGTAGTGTCCTACTTTTATAGAAAGAACGCGATTGGTATAATGGAAACAATTATTATTATAACCACTTGTACCAGTGATTGTTTTGCTGTACCTGTTTGTTTAAGTGTACCAAAAACATACATTCTTCCGTTGACTATGGCCTTGCATGCACTCGCGTACGCTCAGTAGATCCGCTTGTAAACGTCAGCACATCTCGGTATTATTTCGATACAGCGAGATTGCAAACAGATATATCTTATTACAACCGTCAACTGTTTTCTGGTTTTTGGCCTACGGAGGGACCCAATATAATATCTGGCACGTAATCTTCTGTGGTGGTGATCACAGTCAATCGCTACTCGACGCCTACTACATTTGTTACGGGAGAGCTGAAGAAATTTGTCTGATTAAAACCTTTTTGTATATTAAAAAAATTTTACTGTGTTTTTGGCTGTATTTGTTTTACTTAACTCTTGAACTTGTTTGTTTATATCATTAATCTCGGACATTTTGGTTTTTCTTTGTCATTGGTTTGGTATTTGGGAATTTTTGCTCCGGGAACCTACAAAATTGAAGGTTTGTTTTGTAATTGTTATAATTATTGCTGTTAGAACGACTTTTGTGTCGACTATTTGTAACTTGCGGATAAACTTTGGTATCGAATTGGAATTTGGTTCTGTTGTTAATTCAGCCTCATGAATTGCAAATAGATCGACATAACGTACTTCAATAAAGGGAACGAGCAAAAGCTTGGACGTGACAACACTACCACCAAATCCATCAAATTCTTTTTAAGAAAATATTAGCTTTTTAGGGGCTACTTTGTGTGCTTTTAAGGATACAGGTAGTCATATTGTCGTGATACAGTGTGCCACACTGTTGTTCACGCACGCCAATTCCGATTGCTTTTGATTGAGATCCTGAACAGGTTGATGTTGGACAACTTGGAAGCGCTGGACAGCTGGGTTTTTCTGTTATGGGGCTCCTCAGCATCGCGTATCTACGATCACGCCCGCGGGATTCGAGCCTACGGCCTCCAGTCTGGCGCGCGAACGCTTAACCTACTGGACCACTGAGCGGGCATCCGATGGTGTTGGTGTTTAACATCAACCAATCCATGAAATCGCGCGTCCATCTGGCATTGTACTAGGGTAGATACCTGTCTCTACCCGACACGGATTAGATCCACTGGTCACGGCTTCTCACTCGAACTCCAAGAATTCCCTCACGAAGCTAGTCACTAGTGAGCACAGGTTAACTACCAGTATAGGGGTTGTAGAGATTATTATGTATTTGATTAAGATCATGAACCGATTGATGTTAGACTACCGTTGGAAACCTGGAAGCACTGGGCTACCGTTTCGTTCTATTGTTGGACAGCAGTGCGCATCCACAACCCCCACACTAATAATTCTGATTGTGGTCAATTAAGTTCTTGTTGCTTACCAATTATCTGTTGGAAGTAGGAATCTATGGCACATTTGAACGGAACTAAGGGAAAACCAGAAAAAACTTGGACAAGGTTCCCCTAGTAGATAATTTTGTGTTATGGGCTGTTGTATTCCGTTTGTTTGGGTCGGAGAGTAGGTCCCGGTGTTGAACCAGATCTATTCTAGTGACTGGCATTGACGATTACACGTTGACAAAGACTTAACGAATGTTTACGTACCACAAATTTCAGGCAAACGCACATTTGACAGGAAATGGCGATCGTTTTACAGATTGTCAGCTGTAAAATGAACGTCATATCTTGTTGACTATCGTTAGCATTCACAGGACTTAAGGTAACTTACGAGTCATTGTCAGTAAAAAGATGAACCATTGTTGCCACACTAGTAGCGAATAACAAGCGTCTATACCCACCAGTAGTTCTTGGGAGCCAGTAACGGAATTTCCAGGAATTTTACCTATATCAGTCGGCTTGACATTGAGGAAACTTCTGAGTTTCCTGCAGTCTCAGGGAGACTTAACATGAGTGTTATGGTACAAACGTCACTTGGGGCTATCTGTACATGGAAGTCTAGCAACAGATCTTTTGCATGATGGGCTTCATTGAAGAGTTCTAAATCATCTGAGATTATATTGAAAGATACGAAAACGAGTGACAATGTTACAGGGATGCATAATTATGCTTTCGGTCAAATGAAGACTTTCCTTGAAAGAATACAACTTGATAGTGGGTTTTATGGTGATCTCTCGAAACCGGTTGTCAGATTCAACTAGTTTGTCAACCATGGTGTCTTTGAATTTGACATGAACTCCTTGAACTTAAAATAGGAATCTTATTTGCTCACCGCCATACATTTGTAAATGCTGTATACTGCTTTACATATGGTAATCGACTGTGTGCAAAGGTTCTGTTAATATAGAATTCTGACACCTGAGGGAAGCTTTACTTATGCTATTGGATGAACTTGCACTGCCGTGTTCAAGTTTTTAGGGAGCTAACCACTTGAAATTTCATGTGAAAAAAACGATTTACCAAAACATTCGCCTTATGTCTGCGATAAAAAAATCTAGAAACGGTCTGTTCATCCCTGGAACGACGGAGTTTGAAAATCAAACTTTAGCTTCATCAGTCGGTGACTTTTAGATAGAACCTATGATTAAGGAACATATTCTTTTTTAGAATATCATAGGTGAACAACTTCAACTCAGTCTACAGGTCAAAAATGACAGGACACTCTGGGAAGAGTTAAACAGGAATTTCAAACTTCCGGAAATTGAGCCTCTGACAGTTATACGGTTCACTTGAGAAAATACCAAGCACCAAAATCACACAAAACTCGTTCTTGTAACTCTCACCAATACTACCGATGTAGAGGATGTCCTTCTGGATAGCCACTCAATGAAATCAGGTTGGCATGTGGGAAAACTACTTGATTTGGCGTGATATGAACACAGTCTCATCAGGAATATTCCCAAGGAATCTCACGAGATGGTTTGCCAGAAAACACAGACCCTAATCACACAAACCCTGATATTCGGGAACGGAAATTCAACAAGAAGTCCTTGAAGCTCAAAATCATTGACTCAATAAGTGGTGAAACTAACCAAAAAGGATGGGGATTCTGGACCCCAGAAGATGAAGTTAACCCTCTCATCCTCATATATGGCAGCTGCAACTCAAGACATTCGGTACCAGCAGGTGATGACAGCCAAATGGAATCAATAGGCATCCAGATAGGCCATATGACACCAGGATCGAACACGAAGGCGATTTGGGGCTGACCATTCCACTTATGGACTGTCTTGTTTTTGAAAAACGTGGTAAGGACAGGGGCTATCAACTCAGAAAACCTTGTATAGATGAACCACTTGTCCATTCACGTAAGGCTCATACAGACAAACAGACGGGGAGGATCACGCGTTTCAAACTGAAACCATAAACTGCTTAAACATGAACGGCACGAGTTTACCGAATAAAATGGATGAGCTATGTGGATTCAGAAATGCTGATATTGTTCATCTGGTAGGAATATCTGAAATATGGATATCTCAAATTATAGACCAGGAAAAGTCTTTGTTTCGCAGCGACAAAAAATGAATGGAAGGCGACAAGGTATAAACGGTAATCCCTTTCAAATCTGTCCGCCGTTTCGTTTCAACGACCTTGAACGCGCTGACTGGAAGCGGGCATTCCGTATTTCAATTGCCGTGTGTGTGTTGGGTCCTATGAGAATTAAATGTTTCCATATATAAGTCATCTTTTGATGCATAATAAACACTAAATAACTGCTAAGAGCATTAACTGAGTATTTTCTGTTTTGTAGTGCACACTTTAGCTCTGTTGTTCCTTCGAAACTTGATCTGTGGTCCTAAGTGCTGTAGTGAAAGTCAACAGCTATATATAATTTGTTGATAAGGTCCAGAAAACAACGTAAGAAAGATAAAATAACGTAAAAGGTTATAGATGCGCATAGTTTTTGTGAGTTAAGACGAAATGTCAACTGAAGGGTAAGTCCTAAATATTTGTTGTTCTTCCTTCAGTTAATTTTTTTCAAGGAATAACCTTTTTTTAACAGCTATTGTATGTTGTCTCTAGTGCTTCATGCTCAAGTGAAATTTCAGTGAACGTAAGCGACGCGTTCCAACGTATTATGCTGAATAAGAGATTCGGAAGCTGGATTGAATTAGATAATGCGCTAAAGGATTTCCATAAAGTATGATGGGATAAATCTATGTTTTCTCAGATGACCCATACCCACTATGTTCACGCAGAAAGTAGATTGTTGAAGGATGTGAGATATAAATACTTGTTCGTAGTGTTTCGTTGCACGTTTGGTCGTAAACGTAAATCAGAAGGTCTGAATGTGATTAAAAAACCGTGAGGACTCTAACTAATGTGTTACCTTTAAGGTCTAAATTTTTAAATTGCCAATCGATGTTTCGCGTAAGATTGGAGGGTCAACAATACGTTATAAAATCTTACAACATGACTCACAACCATCCGTGTACTAGTTCGTGGATGGTTTGTGATCCGTTGAGTAGACGATTGTCATCAGAAGAAAAAGAAAACTTGAAACCAGTTATATTGCACTGTCAGTCGACGGACGAAGTTATCGAAAGTATTAAGGAAAGAACAGGTAAGCAGGTGACCGCTGCTGATGTCAAAAATATGAAAGCTGAACTCTCCACTGGTAAGTGTATATAAATATATTTCAGGTTGGACTCGGAAGCAGGTATTGCAGATGATGCGACAAAACGGTCAAGTTAGAGAGCATGCAGAAAATGGATCTATTACGGCGGTATGCTTCAGCAGTTATGATCAGATACGGCTGTACAATCAATATCCCGAAGTCGTGTGTATTGATTCTACTTATAAAACTAATAATAAAAAGTGAATATGATTTTCGTTTTGTTCTACTATGTAGGTATTCATTATTCCAGTTAGTGGTAACAGACAATTGGGGTCGAGGTCGAACTGTTATGTTTGCATGGACAAAAAAGAAAAGCGTGCTGATGTTACGTGGATTTTGGATAAATTCAAGGAGATAATGGGTAACACGACCAAAACAGAAACATTTGTGATGGATTGCGCACGATCTGAAAGCGCGGCTGTCCGTATAACACACGGGCATGCAAACATTATTTTGTGCGCCTTTCATGTGATTCGCGCTTTCCGGAAAAAGGTACACCAATGGTTGGTTACATAAAATCGACTGGTAACCGCAGAAACGGTCGGAAGGTAATTTTTTAATGTATTTATTCACTAGATTTAATCAATATTACAGAATAATAAACCGCAGAGACAGAGTGATAGGCCAGTACCTATCACGTTTCTGGATGCCACGTAAAACAATGTGGGCGCGTGCCTTTTACGGCAGTGTATTAACTTTGGGTAACAACACGAATAATCGTGTTGAGTCATTAAATAGGCAGATTAAAAGATATGTACGCAAAAGCGACAGCTTGCACAAATGCATGTACAAGGCTTTTAAGTGGAGTTCAATGACATTCTCTAGAAAAAGCATCGAAGACCAAATAATCAGTGGACGAACATACAATTATGATGCTCCACAGCGTCTTATACCCTTGCTGAACATGTTGACCCCATTCGCAAGATCCAAAGTGTTATACGAACTTAAAAAAATGCGTTTCGTTAACTTAGAATATGAAAGCGGCGAGTGGTTGTTTATGCTTGACCGCGGACAACATTACGAAGTAGATGTAAGTATTTGTGAATGCAATTGTAGCACGTTTAATATGTGTCGATATCCGTGCCGCCATCTCCTGCTGGCATATATTAAAAGACGAAGTCTAACAGGTAAGCTATTTAAATTATAAAATATAAACTGCATAGCTCATCAACTTCTTAGGTGTTGCTGTAGATGGAAATTAGACAATACGCACAATTTACAAAACAACACAGGCATTTCATTACGGAGACGAAGTAAAGAATATATACAACTTCAACGGCTCCAAAGAATGTGCAAACAACGAATTGTTGAGAAATATGGTGAACGCTTCGCGAATCAGGTGGAGAGAAGGGTCTACAATTTTTACTTAAGAATTATAAACAGCTAGACAGCAGGTTTACGATTAACAGTTCTTTGTGGCTTTATTTTATACCACTATTTATACAACTTGTAAACTTATCTTTCCACTTTAGTAGTCATGAAAAATCAATAAACTTTTTCTCATTTTTTATTTTCGTCTTCTTCATACTTTCATGGGGAGGTTTACCAATCGCTTTAACGAATAATTGTGTGTGAAAATTAAGAATTTGTACTACTGTATTAGTTACGAACTGTCGTTAGAACTTAGCGTTATATCGTTGTTCATTGTCAGGAATCAATGAGTCAAATAAAACAATAATGCGACTTCCACGTAAAACCTTACAGATTAAACAACCGCCTTACATATTTTCCGTTGTCAGATTACGTCCATTATCAAGTTAGTATTAGTATGGAACTAGACAATTTCATGCAGCTAGTTCCTTGATAAGATGGATTACGTAATCCTTAGACCACCCTTCCACTCACACTTCTTTGCTAAATTATGTTAACTCTTCAGATTGTCTTCACTTATCTTATTAGTTCTTAATTCAATGATTTATTCATTACATCTAGAATTATCACACAATTTATCTTATATGCTTCTGAGCTTCACTCGACTATTACGCCACCCATCCTTTATGTTCCCTTAAGTCTAACACCAAATGACCTTTGACCTGTTCAAGCATATACATATGTATAGTTATTATTGATAACCTAGGTCATTCCAATTCTTTGCTTTCTATTATCTTTCATACTATTTCTTCCCTCAATCTTAAATTATAATGCATATTCAGTTGTATGCAACTTATAAGAAACCACGAAATGTAATGCAGTCACATGATTGTGCGTCAATATTTGTTTTGGCTTTATTTAGACCATAATTATACAAACTTACAGGATTTATAATATAAAACACTGCGTATGGTTGTTATATTTATATTTAAATAATTCATTAGATGAATGAGCATAGCAGTAGGCAATATAAAACAGTTATCGTAAACTTGTAAACCGGTTTTCCACACGATCTTCCGTAATCCTAAATTCCATAAGCTTCATACTATTCTGAAAAACAACAAATCCGTTTTGAGACAAACAATTAAACTTTGTTCTCAGTATCATATTCAATAAGTTATTCAAATAGCAAGTAACAGACTGTGCCTATAAGTCTTTTATTAACAAGTAGTGACATTCATTCATAACTTCCTAAGTAACACAACAACTGTATTACCGAAACGGAGTGAAGAGTATATAATAACTCATTTGTGAACCCTATAACAGACACGTCACAAATCAGTATTAACTAAAAAACATGGTTGTGTCACCATTCTCACAAGAAACACCGATCGTTTTATTCATGAAGATTTTGTTCCTACTTGATGTGGTGTTTTACACTATTACTGCAGACATTCAGAAAGCCGCTGGACAACACTATAAACGTCAATTGTTACTCACATATTTTTTTATACGTTACATAATTATGTCACTTCAGTACAAAACAATGGTACCTCTAATGGATATAACTTTTTATGGCTAAATACAAACAAGTTATATAATATTCACAATTAGGTTAACGCTTGATTGCTTCTACTTACATTTTATAAACAACTACCGACATCCATGTTCACCGTCACCGCAATCAAGGAGGTGAACCATATGTAAAAGATTTTACGGTTCATTTTCATGAAAACTCAATCTGTGATGTATTTTTTGACTAGAAACATGGTGAACTTTACTTGCTTGAGTTTGTATTGTTACAAATAACTATATTAAGCTAACTTCAGATTTACTTACGTGGTGAGCAAGAAATACGTCAAACTGCCAATAAATTGGAATAAAAACTATGTTACAAGCACTAGCAATACAGAAATTGATGTGTCATGCAAAAAAGCCTGTTAATAGCTGATAAATAACGACACAAAAAATCCACGACAATATGTAACGTGTGCGCGAAAATCCCTGGCTTACCCGCTAGTCCGTGCCATGGGAGGCGGAGAAGCCTCGTTCCTGCGATCTTGCTTGAAAATACATCAAGTGCACAATCGAGAGTTCATCAATCTTGATGAATCCTTATTGTGTTCAGTAAGATTGTCTACCACCTTGAAGTGTCTAGTTGGAGCCATCTACAAGAACTCAATGCTGACAACGAGTACAGCAATCAAATGCTGAAAAAGTAATTCCACTCTGTTCGTATCGACTCCACTCATATTCTGATTCTAGGTGACTTCAATCTCCCTTAATTCAGTTTCGTTGAACATACATACATTGAAGGTGATAATTCAAATGAAGCTCGGTACTCTAACCTCATTTAAGACCTGGGATTATTTGAAAATTTCAAGTCAAGAACTCGTTAATGAAACAGTCAGACGCCTTCGCGTCTAGACTGTGTATTTACAAACGAAGAATCCTTGATTTATAACCTTTCAATCCTGGCTTCTTTCAGGAAAAGTGATCACACTGTCACAGCCTTTAGTTTATCAGAAAACTGAGCCAAGACCTCCTACCAACGACAGGCTCTGGAATTTTAAACAGTTGGATTTATTAGCTTTACAGGACGATCTACAGCAGGTGGACTGGGGAGTTCACCCTCAACTTGATGTGAATGCTCATTGGTATTTCTCACTGCACACGCTTCTATGTGCTACAAGACAGTCTGTTCCTCAAACGGTCCCTCAGGTCTACAAGCAACCTACAATCATCAAGAATCGTATTCTTCGTTTGCTAAGCCGCAAAAGGCACTACTGGGCGGGTTACAGACGAACTGGTAACAACGACGTATACAGACAGTACAAACAAATAAGGAACATATGCACAGAGGTAATTAGAGAAGACAGGCTTCAGTACCAGGTAAAGCTTGTCGATAACTTTGTCTACACTGTGTAAAGCTTATTCTGTCATACAGTCTCTTTTCGACAAGCCTAAACTGTAGTTTTCCAACTGCTAGGTCCTAAAGGCTCGACCAACAACAACGGTGGCGCCGCTAAACTTTTGGCTGAACAGAACTCTCGGACATTCAACCAACCCACACCAACTTTATTGGTGAGAGCTTCATCTGCAACTCCACAGTACTTCGAGAAGCGAACGTGAGCGCCGACATGGTGTTCCGAAAACTGCAGAACCTAGGAAAAGACACTTTTCCTGATCCAGATAAGTTCATTCTGCTATACTGGAGGAAATAGCTTCAATATGGGCAACGCCACTAAGTGTGATGTTCTCACATTCATTAAACTGAAACAGGTTGTCAAAAAATTGAAAGCTGGCCTACATCACATCAATTTTCAGGAGAAGTCGTTGCAGCGAACCTTCAAGCTACCGACCAGTAGCACTTCTCTCTGCACTTTCAAAAATTATGGAGTCTTTGATATGCGACCATATACACGACTATTTATTATTCATAAACTACTTTTCAGCCAAACAGCACGTTTTGAAAAAAATGTGACTCTTATATAATCAACCTGCTGACTGCAGTAGACAGACGGCAACCATCCTTGACCACAAGAGGAAGGTTGACATGATATATTTTGACTTCTCAAAAGCTTTTGATAGGATTAACTGTATATATCTTATCAACAAGCTCAAACGATTAGGTGTCAAACCACCATTAATTGGTTGGCTCACTTCATATGTGAAACTCCATATTTCAGGGTTAGTGTTAGCTTCACTTTCTCTAAGGCTATGGAATGTCCTGGTGGGGTTCGCCAGGGTTCACTACTAGGAACTTTTCTCGATTTATATAGACGGTCTTTCAAAGCAGGAATCTTTCGATTTAATACATTTCACTGATGATGTAAAACCCTGGATGGAAGTATGCAACCAATAGGATAAACTGGTACTTCAGGAGGATCTGATTCGACTTCAAGATTGAGCAAACAACAAGGGACCTCGAAGAACGGACTATAGGCACACCTTCCACTCCCTAAGAGAAGTTAAACGTTGGAATTCGCTGC